CTGCAAGCTACATATTAGTCAGAGTCAGCACTTACAGAAGCAGTGTCAAAGAGTGGGGAGGTGGGTTACAATTTCCCACTGTTACACATGTATCTAGATGCCAGGTCAGGAAACAAAGCATTGCAGGTACTCTAGAAGTTCCTGCCCCCTTCCACTGATAAATTTCTTTCTTTTTTCTTCCTTTCTTCCTTTCTTCCTTTCTTCCTTTCTTCCTTTCTTTCTTTCTTTCTTTCTTTCTTTCTTTCTTTCTTTCTTTCTTTCTTTCTTTTTCTTCCTTCCTTCCTTCCTTTTCCTTTCTCTCTTCTTTTTTCTTTTCTCCTTCCTCCCTTCCTTCCTTCCTTCCTCCCTTCCTTCTTCCTTTCTTCCTTTTCCTTTCTCTCTTCTTTTTTCTTTTCTCCTTCCTCCCTTCCTTCCTTCCTTCCTTCCTCCCTTCCTTCCTTTCTTCCTTCCTTTTCCTTCCTTCCTTCCTCCCTCCCTCCCTTCCTTCTTCCTTCCTTCCTTTCTTTCTTCCTTCCTTCCTTTCTTCCTTTCTTCCTCTCTTTCTTTCTTTCTCTCTTTCTTTCTTTCTTTCTTTCTTTCTTCATTTTTAAAGTTGTTATTCTATTGCATTGTCCCAGGGACGGGTTAAAGAACACTGATAGACTTCTAATGTTAAATCGCCTTTGCTTTCCTGGGAAAGCAAAACTTAGTCAAGGCGCATCATTATTTCTTGTACTGCTGGATTTGATCTGTTAATACTTTGTTTAGGGTTTTTGCATCTTTGTCCATGAGTGTAACTGGCCTGATATTTTCCTATTTTGTAACTTTTTTGTTCTAGTTTCAATGTCAAGGTTGTATTTACCTGAGAATGTGTTTGGAAAATATTTCCTCTTCCTCTATTCTATAAAAAATTTATATAAGATTGAGGTGATCTTTCTTGAAAATTCTGTAGAACTCACTGATAAAACTACTGGGCTGAGTTTTTTTCTCTTTAAAAGTTTTCATAAGGAAAATTTCAAACATATGGTTATATACAAATATGTACAAAGACTGTATACAAACAAACTCCAGTCATTACTCTGGAAAGAATGGGATATTGAACCCCATGTACCTGTTGACAGCTTCAGAAATACCAGCTCCTGACAAACTTCGTTATATCTATCTCCCTTTTACTTCTCTACCCACGGGATGAAATTTCAGAAATTATATAATATTGTTTGTAAATGCTTCTGAGTCTATTTCTAAAACAAAAGTTGTCATTATTCCCATTTAAAAAAAGTGAACTTGAAGATATGTCAATAGAATCTACTCCTTCTGAAAAATAGAGAGGAAATAGACTGAAAGAGCAGAGTTCCAGAAATCTGTGAGACAAAACAAGAAGTATTTAACACTTGTACCACTGGACCAGAAGTAGAAGAAAAAAAAACAATCTGAAAAAGCATTTGAAAAAAGTAACGGCTCCCAAAGCTGAGTGAATCCAAAATAGGATAAACATAAATAACCCTGCACTAAGCAGGTAGCAAACTCCTGAGAACTAAAAACATCCAGGGAAACAACTCAATACCTGTTAAGAAACACCAACTTAAAGGCCAGTAGATAGAGAATCGGAAAACAGAGAGGCCAGAAGGGGGTCGCTTAACACTTTTCAGGTGCTGAGAGAAAAGAATTGTCGACTATGAATTCTGTATCTGGCAAAATTATCCTTCAGGAGTGAAGGGAAAGTAGAAAAATTCTCTGATGAGAGAAGAGTATAAGATTTGCTGCTAGCCATCCTCTCCATAAATAATGACCAAAGGAAGGAATGTCCAATTTCATCCCTTTTTGTCCCTTATGCTTGGTGTCATATCTAAAGTGTGACCAAATTTAAAACAATCAAAATGAGACCTTCCAAGAATTTCCTCTGACAATAATAGAATCACACTAGAAATCAATGACAACGGGAAAATCGCTAAAACATTCGGAAAGTAAACAACACACAGTATGTCTAAACAATCTATGGGCCCAAGAGACAGTGTCAGAGACAATCAAGGAACACAGAATTAAATTAAATACATGAAGTAAAAATGAAAAAGAAAGCCTCACCATCAGGGAGTTGCAGCTTGTGCCATGCTAAGAGGGGGACTGATGTCACCAAATGCTTACGTTGAAAAAGAAGGAAGCCCTCACATCAATCTAAGGCCTGACCACAAGAAACTAGAAAAAACACAGGCAAAATGAACCTGACTCAGAGCAGAGGAAACCAATGATAAAGATGAGAGCACACAGGTGACCTTACACTGGGTACCCTGAGTGGACAGACCAGAACTAAGCCCCCAGGAAAGGCCGGGCGGAGTCTGCAGGGTCAGAATCAGAATTGTTTTTGTGGGTGGGGTGTGGATGGAGGTGATTGGGAGGGTCCCAGTCTTTAAGCTTCCCCTGGGGGTCACTGGCAGGTAGAGGAGCCCTCAGGGGTGGGGTTCTATCTGGGAAGAATGGACTTTATGCACCACTTATCCCAGGGAGGATGGTTCCCGCTCCTGGGAGGAATGGGCAGACACCGCAGGACATCTCGGCAGGACTGCGGGTGACCTGGAAGAGCTGAAAGAGTAGTCCAGGGCTTGGCTCAGCCCCGGTGCCGGGGGCTCAGCTGGGGCTTGGGAAGCAGCACACTGTGCTCAGCGGTGCTCTGGGCTGGGTGATGGGTGGGTTCCAAGGTCAGGTCCCGAGAGTCAGGAATTAACCATGAAATGTCCCCTCTGTGTTGTAGGCAAGACAGTGGCCTGATCCTCAGGGCAGGGAGATTCCCTGAGGCCAGAGCAGGGTCAGCCTCCGAGAGGTCACCCTCTGGGTGCAGCAGTCGGTCCTGTGTGGACGGTGCCAACACCTGGTGTGCAGCCACGTGCAAGGGGGTCACGATTCACAAATTGGAGCAGAATTGGGTTTCCCCAGTAATAACATCCCCCTCATTGTGTCTTTCTCATGTGGAATAAGAACAAGTGGCCTTCCCACAGTCCCTTCTCATGGTGCCCACCCTGCTGCAGCCCCTGGGAGCAGAGTCCCGAGATACCCTCTATGGTGCTGACGACCAGTAACCAGGGCTTGTGCTCTGGGAGCTGGGAGCTGTGTCTGCCTTGTTCTCACTGTTCACAAGGAGCTTTATTAACAGGAGGAGGTAGAGGAGGCTGCTGGGCCTGTGGAAGGGCCTCTGTCTCCCTCCCTTGGAGGCAGGAAGGTGTCATGGGCGTCACTGCATGAACTGACCCCTGAGTCAGCAGGACCAAGTCCAGGCTGCCCACAGGCAGTTCATGGCGGAGAAAGATGATGGTCTTAGTCCAGAGACGGGGGTATGGACACAACAAGGGCCCATAAAGTCTACATCCTCATGCCTAAGATCTGCAAATATTGTCTCCTTATAAAGGGAACTTACAGATGAAAGATCATGTGATCAGGAATTTAAGGTGGTTCATCACTGGGCCCATTATGATCACAAGGGACCTGTCCTTATAAGGGACAGACGGGGCAGGAGAGGCAGGGACCCAGAAGGAGATGTGGTGATGGAAGCAGAGTTCAGGGGCTTCAAGATGCTGCACTTCCAGCTCTGAAGATGGAGGCGGGGCCACAAGCCCAGGGATATAGTCGTCTCTGACAGCTTGAAGAGGCGAGGACACCAGGAAGAACCTCCAGATGGAACCACCATGTCAACGCTGTGATTTGTGCCATGTGAGTCCTCTAAGTGTGTGGTGATTGGCTGCAGCAGCCGTGGGAAACCAGCAAGAGGCGTCACCTTGTGGATCCCAAGCTCGTGTGCATTGGGACAGGGGAGGAGTCAGAGCTCCATTGTGATGTGAACCTGTGAGGGTTTGCTACTCTGTCTCATCTCATGACAGATGATGCTTGGACAACTCGGAACAATCTCCTGAATGTGATTCTGTGTCTCCATGTTGGACCAGCTTTGTTGTGTGAACATGGACACCCTGACTGGAGTGGACCTGAATGGGAACAGCACCCATCCTGGGCCCTCAGGGAGGGACTGAGAGCTGCAGGGCCAGGTGTGCAGAGGGGGCTGCAGGTGAGGTGTGTGTGTGGGAGGAGCTGGGCCAGGTGCAGGAGGAGACACTTGGTCCTGTCTCCATGGGAGCCTTGGTGAGGCAGAAGGAAGGGTATAGGACACTGGGAGACTCAGAGGAGGTCCCATCCAGAATATGTGCCTGCCCATGGGTGCGGGCCATGACCCCACAGAAGCATCCTTGCTCATCTTTGTGAGAACACAAGGTGACCCCTATTCTCTGCTCCCAAGACAGAGTGCACATGTGCCAAGACACAAACCCTGGGGTGTGTCCGTGGCCGGTCTCTGGGGCTGTGTGAGGACAGAGCAGGGCTCTCCTGGTTGGTGAAGCCCCTTTCATCTCCCCATTTCCTTTATTTTAATTTTCTATTTATTTTTATTTTTTATTTACCGATTTGAGAGACTGGAAAGGGGAGAGAGAGAGAGAGAAACATTGGTTCGTTGTTCCACCCATTCTTGAATTCATTGGTTTCATTCCCACGTGTGCCCTGACCGGAGACTGAACTCAAAACCCTGGCACATGAAGATGATGCTACAACCAAACGGGCGCCCGGAGCAGGGCTCTGCCTTTCCTCTTGCACGCCGCCCTCTCTGCACCCAGGCCCTGTCCTCACTCCAGGAGACAGAGACAAGGGGCCAGGGTAACTGAGAGTTGTTTTTCCTGTGTGACACTGGAGAGAAAGGACCCAGTGTTTCAAGTGATTTTTGCTAAAAGGAGTTCCCTTTCAGCCCTGACTGGTGAGGCTCAATGGGATGGGTGTCACCTTGCAAACAAAAGGTCACTGGTTCGATTCCCAGTCAAGGGCTGTGGGCCAGGGTTGTGGGCCAGGTCCCAGGTCAGGGGTGTGCGAGAGGCAACAGATCCCCACTTCTCTCTCACATCTGTTTCTCCCCCTCTCTTGCTCCCTTCTTTCCCCATTGTGAATAAATACATAATACTTTTTTTTTAAAGTACCCATTCATATAAAAAAGCAAATGAGGGAAAGGCCCCCTTTATTCGGATCACACAGGTGGTCCTTGGTGTCTCACTGGCCCGGTCACTTTCCAGAAGATGGCAGCCTGTACCCTGGTCCATCAGGGTCAGGGGGGCCAGTCTGGGTCATCAGTATTCAGGAGGGACCCCGACCTCGGGCCCAGGTCCCTGAATATCCTCAGTGCTCAGGGTTGGTTCTCCGGCTCAGGCTCCAATTCCTGACCCCCAGGGTCTGGGTCTCAGGCTGTCCCTCCCCACAGCCCTGGAGGAGCTGGACCTGGAGGAACTAGGAAGCCCCGTTGGCTCTGGGGCTGATGCGCCAGTACACGTCTGTGCTTGGGTGCAGCAAGTCCTGTGAGGGAAAGGACAGACCCCTGAGCCCTGCAGCCTCCTCAGGACAAGTGCAGGGTTTCACAGGCCCACTGGGGCCTCCTGTGCTGGGGGTGCCTGTCCCCGGGCACCTCCCTCTCCCCACCCTCTGTTTGCACATTATGCTGTGATTTTCCCAAACATGAAGCACAGCCAGGCTTGAGCTGAGGCAGGTCTGGGCCCCTGTGACCTGCAGGACAGAACGTTCATCACCCACACTCACCTCATAGATGGGGCTGGCTGTCCTGGGGCCGGGGAGGGGACCCTATGCAGGGGGCAGAGAGAGGGCATCAGGGGACAGGGCAGGAGGCCATTTCTGCACAGGAGTGACAGCTCTGCCTCCTGAGGAGCTGTCCCCACTCCTACCTGTCACCCTGCACCCCAGTTTCAGTCCACACTGCATCCTGCCAGCCCTTGTTAGCCTGGGAACCCTGACTGGTGCTCACAGCACCAGCTCTGCCCCATGCTGGACCCCAGGGTGCCCCTCAGCTGCCCCAGGGGACCAAGGCAGACTTAGGAAAGGGTGGGGCATCTGTCCCTGATATGGGTGTCCCTCCGGGCCAGGGCAGGGTAGATCTTGTGCTGGCTGCTCTGAATATGGGGTCTATGCTCTGTGGTGAGGTTGGACGGTGCCCCTGCCCTGAGCCTGCACAGCTGGGACCCTTGGAGGAGAGACAGCGGGGAGACACTCACCAGGGAGGTGGAGGCTCCAGAGGGACCGTGACCTGGGAGCAGAGACAAGTGTTAGCACCCAGGGCTGAGGGAGCTTCTACCATCTCCCGGGAGGGGGTGGGTCTTTGGCTCCCAGACAACCAAGGGTGACAGAGCATCTCCCAGAAACAGACCCTCTGGCCATTTTGGGGTCCAGTGAGGGAGGTGGTGACCCATGAGGCAGCCCTACAGGTCAGGGGTGACGGGTGATTGGGGTCCCCTGTGCTGAGAGGGTGATGAGAGCCCCTCCTTGTAGCCCAGGGAAGAGTCAGAGCCTGAGGGGACAGGCAGGATAGGACACGGTGGGGCAGGTCGGGGCCCAGCCTGTCCCAGGCTGAGCAGACACTCACCAGGGGTGGACGCTGGGGGTCGGTGCTCTGTGAGGCCTTGTTTGTCACTGGCCCTAGGAAAGGTCAGACTTAGATGTGAGGGGAGCAGGGGGAGCTTTGGTGTCACAGCAGGGGACAAGGAGGGTCTCCCTTTCCATCAGAGGGTGGGGACCTCTCTCCCCTGTTTAGGAAGGGGAGGGCCCAAAACAGGGAAACTGAGGCAAGGCCTAAAGAATCCTGGGCTGAGCTGGGTCCACAGGGGAAGGACCCACAGGCAGGACGGGTTCGACAGGCAGTTACTGGGGAAGGGACTGAGGACCCAGGACAGGAACCACCCCAGGGTCCGACTTCGTGGGAAGGTCAAGGCTTCAGAGGGAAGCAGGGCCAGGAGCTTGTGCAGGACCTGGGGGCCCTGTGCCTGCTGCCTGTGGATGAATGTGGTGCCTGCTGGGCCCAGACCCGCCCCTCAGGCCTGAGAGCTGAACTGTGACAGGGGCCTGTCCTCTGTCTCCATCTGCCTGCACTGGAGGTCAACACAGTAGCACAGGGTCTGCTGTGCTACCTCTCCAGGCCCAGGTCTCCGGTCTCACACATCAGGGGTTGTGGTTCCCAACATGGCCACATGGGGGCGCCTGAGCCCACCGTGTCTGTACAGGCTCTGCCATCCTCAACTGTGTGACCCTGGCCAGGACGCCTTTCAGATCCTGGAGCAGCAGATCCCCCGCACAGGGTGGGTGGACTCAGACAAACAGCAGCAGGTGCCTCACTGAGCACTTACTCCCTCAGCCCCGTGCAGGTGTGAGGAGTGAACCGGGACCATCCTGAGGGGACAGTTCCTTAGTTGTGACTAATGTGTAGATGAGGAAGCTGTTGAGGACACTGCCCTGGTCAGCAGCTGGTGCAGGAGGAGCTGGAGGGAGGGAGTTAGGAACGTCCATGGGGAAGTTGGGAGGCCACAGAGACCCAGCCCAGCATCAGGAAGGGGTCTCCTTCCTCCTGGTCTGAGGTCAGCAGGGTTTAACCTGGGTGGGGCAGGATTAAAGAAATGCCATTGTACCTCCTAGTCCTCCTGTGGTAAATGAAATACCCCAGGGTGGTGCCCAGAGCCATCAGGACGAGGACCCCAATCACGATGCCAGCGATGGTCCCTGCAGAGGAGCCTGTGTAGTCATTTTCTGCTGAAAGGAGAAGAGAAAAGGGGAGGGGAGAGGGTCCAAGTCCACTCAGGGGAAACCAGGGGGGGCCTTGCAGCATGGAGGCCTGGTTAGGGAGGAAGGAACTGTCACCATCTGTGTGCATTTGGGAGTGTTGTCATTGCACCATCCTTGTGACACCCTTCTGCCTGTGGTTGATTCCTGTCATTTCGCTCACTGGAACCTTTCATCAGCTCTAACTGTGCACATACTCTCACACCTGCCACTCCCGTGTCCTGTTCACTGTCCTCCTCACTCCTCTTCCCTGTCACCTTGTGTCTCTTCCCTCTGTTTCCTCTTCTCCAGCCCTGATGACACTCTCAGAGGGCAGGCACTGACCTGTCCACTCAGTGGTCATTCATGGTAAGGATGTGCCAACTGTGTTCAGTGGCCCAGGGAGGGTGGGAAACCCTGTATGTCATCTGATCCTCCCATCCCCTGGAGGGACAGGGTGTCACCCCCATGGAGCACAGTCACAATATGAGACTTGAGGTGCTTAAAAATCATTGGAGGTCACACATGTGGTGAGTGATGAACAACACTTTCACCCAGTTCTGCTGGACCGACAGCCGATGGCAACAATGTTCATAGAAATAATGACACTATCTGACATCCCTGAGAGAGTCCTGCCCCTGAGTGACCTGAAGGGCTTTAATCTCACTAAATCTCATAATGAACATCCTCACAACTGTCATACAATCCAGCTGTTTATTCCAGTTTACAGTGAGAAAATCGAGGCTCAGTTGGGTGAGCAGCAGCTTGAGGTCAGCCAGCTTGTGCACATGGAATCGAGACTCGGACGAGACTACTGTCATTCTGGGGCTTCCCCTGTTGCTCTACAGACTCTCACTGGGCTCCCCATTCCTCAAGGCTTGTATCCCCCTCATTCCCCTGCCTGTGAGATGTGTGGAGGAGCAGGTGGGAGAGGTCGAGGGTCACTTACTTTGCACATCCAGCCTGAGGGGGTCACTTTTGCTGGTGCTTATGGAGCTGGAGACCCCACACTGATAACTCCCAGCATCCTCCCTCCTGACAGGCTGTATGATTAGGGTGCTGTTGTCCCGGGACAGCTTCATCCCCTCTGTGAGCAGGAGACTCTGGTCCCTGAAGAACCACCAGATGGAGATCCTGGTGTCATTTGTGAGGCAGGTCAGCACCACGGTGTCCTGTTCTGTGACGGTGGTGTTCCTGGCTCGGATGAAGGGCTTCCCCATGGGCTCTGTAGAGAAATGAGAGGGTGACAGAGCAGGCTCCTGCCTCAGAGCCTCAGCCAATCACAGCCCCCCACGGAGCCCTGATAGAGTCACCAGAGGATGGCCCTGGTCTCCAAAGGAGGACCAGTGTCTTTGTTCAGGTGACAATATGTAAGGAGAGGTCTGTGTCTCTCCCTGTGACACCAGATCACCCCAGGATGACCTCTGGCCTGTCCCCCTGCACACCTGTAGAAGCAGCACCACGAACCTCTTCTGAGCCCAAGTGTCCAGCATCTTCAGACACAAGTGGAATTTTTCACCCACTGACTTTTCTGTGACTCTTTCCTGTAGTTTTCTCTGACTTTCTATGTGATCAAACCCTCTCTCCATATGATGGCTTTACCTGGACAAGGGAAGGCTTTTCCTACAATGAGAACAGTCCATTCCTGACCTTAGGGCCTCAGTAAATTCCAGTCCAAAGGCTTTGTCAGTGTGAATAGGACTCTCACTTCCTGGCCCATGAAGTGAATATCACAGAGAAGAGAAACCTCTAGAGAGAAGCAGTCACAGGTTAGCAAAGGCTGGAGTCTATATTCTTTGTGGCACTGCCTCTTCTGTCCCGTGAAGGGACTTCATGGTGGAGACTATCCATCTGTCAGGTAAGTACCATCGCTCACTGCTCTCCTCTGGAACATCACACACACTGGTGTCACACAGTGTTACGCAGCTGGTGACCTCAGAGCCAGGATGGTTACACTGTGGCTGTTTCCAGTAGCCTGGCTGAAGGGAGGCTCTGATGTTGGTGGGTAGCTTAGTTTGGCCAGATTGAGGACAGGCCGACAGTGCAACTCCTCCAGGGCCCCTGTCCCAGCACAGGGGGCAGCAGAGTCAGACACCAGGTGAGCCTGGAGCAGAGCAGGGAGCAGGGGTCTGTCCTGTTCACCCTCCTCGAAGGGAGTTTCACTCTTTCGTTTGGGGAGAAAAAGGTGAGCTTGACTCGAAGCCTCGTATGTTCCCAGGAGCACATGGAGTGGTCACAGAAAAGGAGGAGGTGACCAAAGGAACGAGTTAGTGACAGAAGAAGCAACTTGACCTTCAGCACTTGTTTACCCTTCTCTTTGGAGCCCCTGTCCCACCACATGGAGCTTTCTGGGTCTGAAAGAACCCACTTCCTCACTTCCAAGCCTGGACCCCAGCTCTGCCCTGAGAAATCAGAGGAGCAAGGGGAGGAGAGGGACTACAGAGATGTGGGGGAGGGTTCAGGGGAAGGGTGTGTGATTTGTTGTGTCCATGGGCACAGGATGGAGACAACATTCAGGCTCTTGTCTGAAAACCAGACCAACCTCCACCCCAGAGCTCAGTGCCAATGGTCCAGGAGGCACTCACCAGTCACTGTGATGGTCCTGACTGTGGTCCTATTGAGGCCAGTGACAGAGTTATGGGCGAGGCAGGTGTAGGATCCACTGTCATTTGCCGTGATGCTGGGGATAAAGAGCTCCTGTGTGGGTTGCTGAGGCCTCCCATTGATAAGCCAAAAATACTGTGCAGGTGGGTTAGAGGCTGCATGACAGGAGAGGTTGAGGTTTGCCCCTGGTGGGTAATGGGAGTCCGAGGGAAAAATGGAGGGGGCTTCTGGGCCATCTGGAGCAAACAGAGCAAAGCCACACATGATGTCATCAGAGGGAAGGGGAAGCTCCTGGCCTGTGTAAGGGCCACAGTGTCTCTCTGAGCTGGGGCCCAGTCTTGTTGTGAAAGGTGCCAACACAACCCCTTGTTCACTGAGCTGCGTCTGAGACATTAACATGTTTTCCCACCACAGGGCATTGACTGTGAGCCTTT